ATTTTAAAGTAATTAATAAATTAAATTTTAGATGTGGTCCGCGCTGCTCCTTTTCCGATTGGTCGGCGCTCGTTAATGTGACAAATTCGCGTTTACTTATCTGTTTCAGGCTAATTAAGGCGGTCACGAGTAAATCAAACAAAAAATGTATTAAACATAACGCTAGACTTCGAAATTAACAGTATTCTCGGCCAGAGCGGCTACTAAGGATTCAAAGCACGCGCGTCGCGGGCCGTGATTGGTCCGCAATAGTATAATATTCTTATTCTGAGAGATTATAGGCGTTAAGGTGTTCCGATCAGATTAATGTTTCTTAAACCTCGTGTAGAATGATAATGATATGACAGCCCCAACATATGGGAACGATTCCTTAACTTCGCGTGGAGTTATCCTGCTTGGAATTTCATCGCAATACATCGCCACTCAGCACGCGTTTCACGGGTGCTTCGATTGGCTCACGCAACACATGTATCACGCGGTGTCGGCATAACAGAATCATACCATGCCGAATAAGTTTCTCGTTAGGAATATCCGCAATTAATTAATAGAAATACTTTAGATAAACAATATGAGATTAAATAACGGAAAATAATTCAGCGCAAAACGAAAAGACAAAAAAAAATAAAATTATATTTCTATGGAGGGCACGTAACAATTCAGCTTTTATAATATTTTGATGTCCGTCTGGACTATAATCAGAGTTTTTTCCCTTCTTTTTCTTTTTCTTTACGATTAACGTTTTAATTAACGTGTATTAAAAGTTATTCATTTATTTCAATATAATTGACAGTGAATGGTCAAAGACTAGTTTTTGACTAAATCGATAGAATTTAAGTTTGCGATATGGTGAATTTTTGTTTTAGTGAGCTACCTTCTATTATTTTATAATAAATCTATAATAAATCTATAATAAATTTTTGCTTCCAATAAATTTACTTTTTAATAATTTTAATACATTTTAGATTATTATTAGAGTTTGTTTTTATATTATAGTTTCCGATAATAGGTGGAGGTGTGGCTCACTGAAATGAATTAGTTTGTAAAAAAAAAATTTTTTATAATTACAATATTATATTGTCTCTAAGGATGGCTCAAAAGTGAGCCGAAATATGTGAGCGGATTAATTATTAATAAAGTTGTTTTGTTAATTGTATTGGTTTGCACAAAAACTATCGAGCTAGGACTCCTATTGCCCTGTTATATCCAAACACTTCGTATCATGAAAGAGTCTTTAGGAATTAATTTATATTTAGTTATAAAAATAACAAATATTCTAGAAACTAGAATTAAGAAACCGCTGCCACTTTTCTTTATAGAACTGCAGCAAAAGGAAAACAGCATGACATTTACACAGTAAAAAAAGTCTGTTAAATACAATAATCACTTTTGAACAACCATACGAAAAAAGAGAAATCACACAATGTTCCAGATACCAAGCATACGGGCATACGAAGAATTATTGCTTCAGAGGAGTCTCCAAAATGCATCAAACGCAGGAAAACATCTAACTAGTGATTGTACTAAAAAACAGTTTAATGAAGTAAAATGCTGCAACTGCGAAAGATCTATCCTGTATGTTACAAAGGATCAGCAACTGCATCAAAATTTCCTAAGTTAAGGGAAAAAATAGAAGCAGATCCAAATATGAGATCAAATTTAAGAAATGAACAACAAAGCAGAAATGAAACAAGATCAACACAACTACAAGTTATGCTGAGATATTAAAAAAAAATCCTACACATCAACCAAGCTTAAAAGATAATGATGTTTATAATAACAATGGTCGACCAGTTATTATAAACACCAAACACACTTAAACAACAAAACAAATTGGAAATAATGCTCCTTATAGGAAACATAAATACAATGTTAAATCTACTAACAGCCTTGAACTTACTAAAATGAAATAATGGCACATATATTAAAACGTTTATATTAAATACGTATTATATTAAATATGTAATATATTAAATATGTAAATATTAAAAATAGGAATCTGGAATGCCAACGGACTTATTCAAAGAAGTAATAAACTTAAATATTTCTTATCCGAGCATAGACGTAATGCTTATTTCAGAAACGAACATTACACGAAAAAAAGCTACCTAAAAATCCCAAATTATACAATCTACGATACCCAACATCTGGACGGTACAGCACATGATGGTACTGTTCTAATTATTAAAACAGCTATTAAGCATTATGAAAACGAGAAGTATTCTCAGAAATATCTACAATCAACAAGTATCGCTATAGAAGACTGGATAGGACCTATTACTTTTTCAGCCATATATAGTCCGCCAAAGCACACAAACAAGAACATTACACTAATTATTTCAAAGCTGCTAGTCATAGGTTCATTGCTGATTGCGACTACAATACGAAACACCTGTGATCTAGATCTTAAATAATTCAAAAGGAAAACAATTATACTTAGCAATGTTGCAAAATAATCTACACCCGATATCTATAGACGGATCCATCTATTGGCCTGCTGATTGTAGAAAAACTAGACGTTATAGATTTCTGTATTGTGAAGAGGATAGTAGTGCAACGCACTACTTTAAAGCAGAATCATGTTATGATCTAACTTTGAATCATTCCCCAATAATAATTACAGTTAATACAACTGTAGTAAATATAGAGTAACCTCTAACTCTGTCCAATGTAAAAACAAATTGGTCTATTTAGAGACCTTTTAATTCACAAAGAAGTTAAAAAAGGATTCTAAACAATTAATATCTCCGATAAGACAAGAAGACGAAAAATGGGTAAGAACCAGTAAAGATAAAATCAAATTATTTTTTTCGAACACCTCAAAAAAGTATTTTTGAACTATACCTGAAGAAAGATCAAAAGAAAAAAAAGAGTAATATTAAACTACTTTGAGTTACCGCTGCAAATGAACTCTTCTATCCAAAAAATAAAAATAGGCGAAGTGCAAAAAATAATACGAAATTTAAAAGACGGTAAAGCGCCAGGTTTGACCTGATTACAGACAAAGTGATAAAGGAACTTCCACAGAAAGTAGTAAGACTGATAACTAATTATAGATTGCTATAATGCTATTATAAGATTAACTTTCCAACCATGAAAAATAGCTCAGATTATGCTAATACCAAAACCAGGAAAAAATCAGAAGAATTATCTTTATATAGACCAATAAGTCTACTTTCTGTTAAAGGTCTTTGAAATCTCATGCTGAATCAAGCTGCATTAGTAACAAAATTATTTCAGAACATCAATTTGGTTTTAGAGAGCAACAATCGAACAGATGCACAGAGTCGTAAGAAAAATTAATAATACTTTGGAGAATGGAGAATATTGCTTAGCGATGTTCCTGGATATTACTCAAGCATTTGACAAAATATAGCACTCAGAGTTACTCTACAAAATAAAAAAAACAGTTATCGCATAACTATTATCTCTTACTTAAATCATATCTAGCAGACAGATATTTTATAATAAAACATCAAGAAGAATATTCGGACTTATAACCCATCAGATCCGGAGTCCCGGAGCAAGACAGTATCCTTGGACCTCTGTTGTATCTAATATTTATCGCCGACCTACCAACAAACTGGAACAAACTCTGACGGGAACATTCGCGGACAACACAACCATTATAGCATCACATAGGAATCCGAAAGAAGTATCAAGGATTCTCCAGGGAAATATTTCTAAAATACGAGTCTGACCTAAAACTTGGAGAATAAAGGCTAATGAAAATTAATCTGTGCACGTTACATTTACATTGAATAAGACTCATTGATAAAGACTCATGCTCACCGGTAAGACTAAACAACATTAAAATATTTCAAACAGATTCAGCGAAGTACTTAGAGAGTTCACTTAGACCAAAGATTAACTTGGAAAACGCATATATGGCATAAAAGGAAGCAACTGGGAATTAAACTTATAATTAGAAATATATACTGGTTACTTGCTCGAAATTAAAAAATGTTACTGTACACAAAAAAACGCAAAGTACTGCTCTATAAAACAATTATGATGCCAATTTGGACATATTTATCCATATTTAAGAGGGGGGGGGGGAGGTTTGCTTCTAATTTAAATATAGAAATTCTAGAAAGGTTTCAATTCAAAATTCTGAGAACAATAGTAGACGCGCCGTTCGTATCTAACGAAATTATTAGACGAGACCTGAATATTGAAACAGTTAAAAAAGTAATAACAAGCTATGTCTTGAATTACGCTGATAGACTGTGGACGCACATACTAATCAATTTGCGAATAAACTTCTGACTGAAACTGAGAATAAACGACAACTTAACGGTTCAAACTATTAGACTCAATAAATAGATACAACTAATGTAGTTAGATAATTAGATAACAAAAAATCTTTAGAGTCAAAATGATTGCATAATTAAAGGGATGTACTTCACTGGGATTATTTCTACGCTATTTAAAATTATAAAATTTATTTATTATCACAACTTGACAGATTGTAAATATGCTTGCAGTAAAAAATTAAGTTCATATTTAAGCATCAAATGACGTCATGAAGATACGTCGCTAGCGCGCATGCGTGAGTTCCTCTCGCGAATCTTACTCTGTGTTTTACCTGGTGTTCTGATTCAAAACATATATAGCAATTCTCGAGTCAGCGTTGTCATTTTGAATTACTCTCCCTATTCCCCGATCTTGCTTCAGCAAACTTTTTATTCCCTAAGCTAAAGAAGGCGATGAAAGGGACTCGATTTAAAAATATTTCGAACATTTAGAATCGTGTGACAAAAAGATTTGTTACAGTTTCTATAAGTTGTACGAACATTGTCAAAAGTGTATTACTTCTAGCGGGAATTACTTTGCAAGGACAATAAAGGTCATTCGTATATTAATTAAATGGTGTTTATTTTCTCATGACATTCACCGAATTTTATTGCCACACCACATGTGTCTTATAATTTTGAGTTGTATATATTATATCATATAATCTTTGCTATAATAAGAATATATATTTTATCATTATGTTGTAGAGCCAATATTTGGCAAGGCAATTTTCCTACAGTAAATACTGAAGAAGACGGATACAAAGGCACATCACCAGTTACAATGTTTTCGCAGAATAGATATGGTTTGCATAATATTATTGGAAATGTTTGGGAATGGACAGCGGATTGGTGGATAACAAAGCACTCAAGCGATCGATTAATAAATCCAGTAAGCATTTATTTATTTAAATACTTTCTTATTTAAGTGAAAATATAATAAAATATGTATCTTATATATTTTATATACAGTATATATATATATATATATAGTATATATATA